GGACCCAGCACCCCTCCGCCCCGAGTACACACCCCCTCCCCCCCACCCCCGGGGGCTCCCACCCTCCGGCTCTCGACGGGGCCGGGCCCCCCGTTACGCCACGCCCCGGCCTGCACCCAAGGGTGCCCCCCAGCCCCGCCCACCGCGCGGGGTGTCTAGCCCCCCCCGCTCACCGCGGCCGCGGTCTCCCATCCCGGGGGTCCCCGCTCCGTGCCGGGGGGATCCGGGCCTCAGACCCCCCCGGGCTCCGGCCTGATCCAGGCTCCGCCACCGCCTCCTGCGGGAGCCGAGCGGACCCACAGTGCACCGCGGCCGGGCCCAGCCGACCCAGCATGCCCCGCGCGGGGGCCTCCCCGGCCCAGCATGCACCGCGGCCGGCCCCAGTATACCCCGCGCGGGGAGGGGGGGGATTCCGGCCCATAATGCACCGCGCGGGGAGGGCGGGATTCCGGCCCATAATGCACTGCGCGAGGGCTCGTTCAGCCCATAATGCACCGTGGCCAAGCCTCTAAACCAGCCCACAATGCACCACTGACCATCCACGAGAAGCCACCCCCTCCGCCTTCCCGGCATGCAATGCTGTGAATCATAGAGACGGGATTAGTTACAAACAGTCACTGTGACGGCTGTATCTCGTGGACCTGTCTTTCCTCCACCCCACTTACACTAGAGACGGGAGAACATTCCTACTGTCCCCTTTGGTTGCTACCAGACCGGCGGGGAGATGAAAGCGCTCCGCCCTAAACAAAGATGGCGGCCGCTAGTCAGTCTTCACGCCGCCCCGCACAAAGATGGCGCCCCCATGGTAACTGTCCGGCTAAGTCTCGCCACAGTCACCATCTTTGTGAGGGGCACACGGACGGCCTACTGCGGCCTCCATCTTTAAGAGGGGTGATATTAAGGTCTATGGTGGCCGCCATCTTTGTGAGGGGCACTGCCTGCTCGCGGGGGGCGGGGTGGACGGGTCTGGGGATTGTTCGCGCGAGATTTTGGAGGGGGAGGAGCCTGGCTGCCACGTCGGGTCTGAGCCGGAGCTAACGGATCCCAGTGACGGTGAGACCCCCCGGGGCATAGAGAGCGGGGAGGGGGCTAGAGGGGCCGCACGGCGCCCCGGGGCATAGAGCTGGGAAAGGGGGGCTAGAGGGGCCGCGTGGATCTGGGGTCAGGGAGCTGGGAGGACGAGGGGCCCCGTGGCCATAGAGAGGAAGGTGTTGGGGGCTAGAGCGCCCTTGGGTCGGGGGCTCGAGGGGCCCGGGGGTCACAGAGACAAGCCCAGGGTGGGGGGGGCTGCGGGCCCTGGGCACGGGGGGGGGGGGGGTAGAAGGGCCTGGTGGGCTGGCATGGCAGGTAGATGGGGGCCACTTGGAGGTATAATGGCCATAGAGATGCTAGGCAAGGGGGGCCAGAAGGGCCGCACAACCCTAGAGACTATGGGAAGCCCCGGGCTATAAATACGTGGGGGACAGAAGGAGCCACTGTATGATCCTAGCCCTGGGCAAACAGCGTAGGCGGGGCCGTGTAGGACCATGGCGCTGGGAAGGAGGGCACTGCAGGGTCATAGAGATGGCAAAGAGCGCGTAGAGGGGACAGGGAAGGGAGTCTAGAGCGGCGGTTCTCAACCAGGGGTTCACATACCCATGGGGGTACGCAGGGTCTTCCAGGAGTACATCAGCTCAGCTCGATACTTGCCTAGTTTTACAACAGGCTGCATGAAAAGCACCAGCCAAGTCAGTGCAGACTAAAATGTCACACGGCTGATGAGAAAGCCAGCCATGGTTCAGTAACCGTGGGCTGTAGTGTTATGTCTGGTTTTGTAAGCAGGTAGTTTTTAAGTGAGGTGAAACTTGGGGTACGCAAGACAAATCAGCCTCCTGAAAGGGGTGCAGTCATCTGGAACGGCTGAGGGCCGCGGGTGTAGAGCGTGTACTACGTGAGTCATAGTGATTGGGAGAAAGATCTTGCAGGGGTTCTTCGAGAGCGGCGTTTCTCACTCTTTCTGATACCAGGGTTGCTGCCTTCCAACCTGTGTCAGGGAGATCTCTGAGACGGCACCGGTCCCCAGACCGGTCGTTGAGAAACGCTGTTCTAGACCCTCCTCTTGTGATCCCCGTGACCCAGCAGTGCCGCTCTAGACACTCCTCTCCATCACTATGACCCCGCAGTGCTAGATCTGTTTTGGTTAGTTATGGTCGTGCGGTGCAGGCTCTAGACTCTGCTGTGCCGCTATGATTTTACACTGGCCTCTCTAGAATTTCTTCCACTTTTCTGTGGCCTCTCTACCTCTGCTGGAGGGAACGGGGACTAGAGCGAGGGGATATGTGAGCGTGACAGGAAAGGTCGTGCTCACACTCCCGCTTTCCAGTCGTGACAGCAGGATGGTGCTGCCTGGACGGACGCAGGGCAGAGCGGGACTCTATGGCCCAGTCGCCGCCATGATGGTCTGTGCAGCGCTGATACAGATTACTTCTTCGCACGAAGATCTGCACCACGGGCATTCGCACGAGGATCTGCACCATGGGCACAGCCACGCTGGGCACAGCCACGAGGATCTGTACCATGGGCATTCGCACGAGGATCTGCACCACGGGCACAGCCACGCTGGGCACAGCCACGAGGATCTGCACCATGGGCACAGCCATGCTCACCACAGCCACTCGCATGGGGACTTCCACGGCCATGGGCATTCGCATGAGGACTTCCACGGCCCCAGCGAGGCCGACTTTAGCCACCAGCCCAAGGAAGTCCGTGTTCCGCACTCGGCTGAGGGGTCCCCGAGCCACCAGCAGTTGCCTGGGAAGGAGAGGCAGGACTTGGTCAAGCTATGGACACACGTGAGTTCCTGTGTCGAACGTGGAGGTGCTGCCTTGCACGTGCTTGCACTGGCGTAACCCCCTGACAGTCTCTCTCCTCCCCCCCTCCCCGCAACCTCTGCAGGCCATCGGAGCCACCTTGCTGATCAGCGCCGCCCCCTACTTCATCCTCTTCCTCATCCCCGTGGAGTCCAACACTTCCCAGCACCAGGCCCTGCTCCGGCTACTGCTCAGCTTTGCCTCGGGGGGACTCCTAGGGGACGCCTTCCTGCACCTCATCCCCCACGCGCTGGGTGAGCAGCACACAGATGGACTGGGACACGGGGCCTCTCCCCTCTCAGGGT